TCTATTGTATTAATCATTCCTCCTAGCTTTATGTCATCGGCAAATTTGATAAACATTATCATCTATACCTTTCTCCAAGTCAGTGATTGGAAATGTTAAACAGTACAGGGCCAAGCATAGATCCCTGGGACATTCCTCTAGAGACTGCCTTCCAAGTTTTTTGTTGTTCAGTCTTGTCCAACTCTTTGTGACCCCATTTGAGGTTTTCTTGGCAAAGATACTGAAGTGGTTTGCCATTTCCTTCTCCAGCTTATTTTACAGATGAAGAAACTGAGGCAAACAGGGTTAATAGACTTGCCTAGATTGACACAGCTAGTAAGTGTCTGAGGACAGATGTCTTCCCGACTCTAGACCCAGCACTCTATCCACTGTATCACCTAGCTTGCCCTTCCAAGTTAACATTGGACAATTAATGAGTATTCTTTGGGTGTGGCCATTCCATTCATTTTGATTCTACCCCCATCCTACTATTGCCTAGCCTACATCCTTCAATCTTTTCTACAAGACAGCGGGAGTGATTTTGTTAAATGATTTGCTAAAATATAGATAAGCTATTATCCACATAATTTCCTGATACGTCAGTCTATCAACCCTGTCCAGAAAAGGACATGGTCATAGGTGCCCTCTCCTTCTGTCTGACCCTCCCCCACTGCTTGGATCTGTGAAGCTTTGGCTTTGGGTGTAGAAAGAGTGAGAAACCATACAACAGGAAGTGAAGAGATTCCGCAGTCAACAGAAAATCCTGTGGTCAAGGTCGCAACACTTAGCACAGAGGGAGGCACTTGACAAACGCTTCTTCCCCCTGTTTCCTTTTTTAAAAATTAGGACAATTGTCTTTTCCAGCTTTTTCAAAATCTCTGTTTTTCCCATCAACTTTCAAAGTTCACTCTCCACAGATTAGTAAGCACATCTGCCAATTCTTTCAATTTCAAGGATGAAGTTCATCTGGACCTAGTGACTTGAGAGCAGCAAGAATGAATGAAAGATTAGGTGGATAGAAGGAGTTTGGGGAGGGAGATAGTGGAGGTTGGGAGACTGGTTAGGGAACTATAACAATAGCCCAAAAGAGAGGAACTGGTGTGCTCCAGCAGAAATGTTCATAGCTTATGAGTCACAGGGCCCGGGTTCAAAAGCCGCCTTTAACACTACTTATTTAAACTTGGATAAGTCATTTGACTTTTTTAAGACTTAGTTTTCTCAGCTATAATAACAGAAGTAATAATAACTAACATTCACAGAATGCTTTATTTTTTTGCAAAGTGTTTGCATATATTATCTCATTCCGTCATCACAACAACTTTGACAGAATATTCCCTCTACCAAAGCAGGTATTGACTACTTAGAGTCTTAGGCAGTTGCCTAGAGAACAGAGACTGAGTGCCTTGCTTGGAGTCACACAGTCAGTAGGTATCCCTGGTAGGACTTGAACCCAGGTCTTCCTGGCTTCAAGGCTAACTCTCTATGCACTACACCATGCTGCTGAAAGATGGCCTTTGGAACACCTCTGGAGAACAGGCAGCATCCCTGGAATAAATGCTTCCCAGGGGGAGTCTTCTCAATGAAGTCCAACATACTGTCCAAGGCTGAGTACTTAGTGCTGGGGGTCCAGGAAGAGGCCCACAGACATGATGCCCTGCAGGAGCTTACAACCTAATTAGACTAGATGACTTTTTGTTTGTTCGTTTTTAGTGAGGCAATTGGGGTTAAGTGATGTGCCCAGGGTCACACAGCTAGTAAGTGTCAAGTGTCTAAGAACCGGATTTGAACTCAGATCCTTCTGACTCCAAAGCTGGAGCTCTATCCGCTGCACCACCTAGCTGCACCTTACAACCTAATTAGAGCAAAAGAGTTCAAACACAATTAGCTGTGATACAAGTAAATGTGAAGAAATTAAGGCCAAATACTATGAGAAACTGGAAGCAGGAGAGATCATATTCATCTGGGGATAGGACTAAGGTCAGGCATGAAGGAAATAAACCAACATTTAGTAAGCATCTATTATGTGCTCAGTGCATTCGTCTTCCATGGATCAGGTGGCACCTGGGTTGATCCTTGAGGGAAAAGAGTGACTTTACTAGCTAGACACTGGCAAGGAATCCATTACAGATACGAGCAAAGGCACAGAGATGAGAGATAATGGGAATGTATGTGTAGACTAATTTGGCTTTAACATGGAGTATGTGAAAGTTGGCAGTATGAGATAAAACTGAAAATACAGGTTAGACCAGTGAATCTTAACTGGCACTTATCAAGGATGGAGGGGGAGGCACATGAATTTAGTTCGGAAAAAAGTTACATCTTTATTTTCACTAATTTCTTTAGTATTTCTTTCAATTATGCATTTAAAAAACCCCATCATTTTGAGAAGAGGCATCATCAGACTACCAAAGGGGTCCACGACACAAAAAAAGGTTAAGAACCCCTGAGTTAGGATGACACTATAGAAGGCCTTGAATACCAGAATGAGGAATTGATATACTTTTTGATAGAAAATGGAAAGCCATTACAGGTTTCTGAATAGAAGAGTGGTGCGTTCCCAGCACTTAAGAAGGATCACTTGGGCAGCAGTATGAAGGATCACTCACTCAATCAACAATTATTGATTAAATGTCTATTATGTATTTGGCACTGTCCAGAGAGGATAGACTTGGGTAGGAGAGAGGATAGACTTCAGTTATAAATAGCTCTTTCAGGACTACAATCAAGGGTAATAAGGGTTCAAATTAGGCTGGTTGCAGTAAAAGTGAAGAGAAGGGAGACCAATGCAAGAGATATTGTCAAGGTAAAATTGACATGACCAGGCAACCAGTTGGATGGAAGAAAGAGGAATGAGTCAGAGATGACTCAGAGGTTCTGATTCAGAAGACGATAGTGCCATTGACATAAACAGAAAACTAATATCAGATATCGGACTGTATCATAAAACAGTGACCATCAAAATAATTTAGCATTGGTTCATAAATAGAGATACTCATCCATGGAACAGATTAGCTACATGATGTACAAAAGCAAATAAATATAGTAACCTGGCATTTGATAATTTGATAATAAATATTTATCAAAGCAGGCACCAAAACTATAATTGAGGGAAAGCCAGATGGATTAGTTTAGGTAGTAGACTATAAAGGAATAAATGGACTCTGAGATTAGAGAGTGAGGTCAAATCTCAGCTGTCCTGAGGAGAAAAATTTCATCCAAGAAGTTTGCTTTGAGATATCTCCAAGGGTTCAGGTGCTGGGTATTAAGAGATATGGTGGAGTGTTGGCTTTGATTACATGCATGGGGCTCTGGGGCCATCTCTCTTTTTATCCCTTGTCTCTTTAATTCCTTCTTTGAAGTCTCCTTTCCTAGGAGCCTGTCGGTCAATGAAAAAGTCAAGAAGTCCTGAATTCAAAACCTCCTTCAGAAGTTAGTTATGTAACTCTAGACTTAATGTCTCTTATCATCAGTTTCCTCATCTGTAAAATGGGAAAAAAAATCTATCACCTAGAGTTGTTGTGAAGATAAAATGAAATGATAATTGTCACTTAGTAAGCACTATATAAATGTTAGCTATTATTATTATTGAATAAATGGGAACCATAATAGCACCTACTTTTCAGAGTTGTAAGGATCATATGAAATGATAGTTGCAAAGTGCTTAGCACAGCGCTTGGCACCTAGGAAACACTATATAAATGTTAGCTATTATTATTGTTGTTCTTGTTGTCATGAGGATCAAATGTGACAATATTAATAAGGTGCATAACAAACCTTAAAGTGCTATATAGAAGCTACCTATTATTATATTACTTCCAAATTCAACTTAAGAATTAAAGGTGCCACCCCTTCCCACCTTGTCCTTTCTTTATGAAGCCCAGATCCAGCTTTCTGCTTTCTCCAGTGGTGTGTCCTTTTCCCCTAGCCTACTTGCTGAGCTCTCTCAGAAATCCAAGTGTTATGACGAGGGCAGGATCTTCCGTAGAGATTGTTTCATTCCTTGTATTTGCACCCCTGGTGCTTAGTAGTGTCTGGCACACAGCAGGTGCTTAATAAATGCTTGTGGATTGTTGGGATCTGAGATCAAGCACCTTGATTAGATATAGGAGGAGTCAAAAACAGAGAAATGCACGTTCCTTTGGTGTCTGGATAGGTATCTTCTTTCTTGCCTGCTATGCTTTGTAATAAATGGGCTTCTAGCCCTTCCCCCAAAATGGGTATTTGGGGCACGTACATAGGGAATTTCTGGCTCTAAGGTAACTGTAGGATTATAGGATCCTAGTTTCATTTAGAAGGGAGTTTAGAAATCATGTAGTCCAATCTCCTTACTTTCCAGGTGAGGACACTGAGGCCCAAAGACATTAACTGACTTGTTGAAAGTGATGCAAATGAAAGAATGGCAGAGCTGGGATTTGCACTCAGTTCTTATTGGCTCCAGGTTCAACACTCTTTCCATTACCCTGTGTTGCCATATTGGGAAATGTCTTCTCTTTGGATCTTGATTTCTAGACCTGTAAAATGACAGGTTCTGTCCTGCTCGAAAATTCTCTGAGTCTGCCTCAGTCTGCAGTCCTTAGGAAGGTCAATATGGCCTTAGGCACACATAGTGTCTACTTTGTGCAAGGTGTCCTATCAGTGCAGGGCCCTTCACCTTCTCCAGGGGACCCACCATGCTCCCCTCTGAAGCCAGAACAATATCAACTTATGGAAGATTACCATTGGAAGGGATGCTAAAGATTATGTAGTCCACAAATGGAGGCCTGTTGAGGTAAAATGACTTTTCCAAATTGAAAGGGAAGAGGAAAGGATGCTGGCAATGTCAGACCCTTGGGAATCAAGAAGGCTGTTCACTTCAAGAGGGTGAGAAAGAAAAGTACTGTACTTTCCCAACACCTCAGAGGCAGGAAATGGTGACATTAGAACCACTTCCTGATTCCTCTGCTGCCAGTCAATGGATCACGGTAGAAGAAGAAGGGGAAGAAGGTTCTCACCTCCAAGCCCACCACAGTCCTTGAGCTTTGCCCAAGACACTTTAACCTTTATCCACTAGTTTAAAGTACCCTTTCTGACTCAAAGAATCATAAACTATTAGAGCTGGAAGAGAATTTAGAGAGCAAAGGATCATGGCCAAGCCAACGAGTATTTATCAAGCTCGTACTCTATGCCAGCCATTATGCTAAGCTCTGGGGATACAAAGAAAGGCAAAAACAGCCTCTGACCTCAAGCAGATCTCATTCTGGTGGGGGAGATGACACATAAACTACTCTGTACATGTACACCGGGTAAGATGGAGGCCACCTCAACGGGAAGACAGTAGCAACAGGAGAAGGACCAGAAAAGTTCTCTTGCAGAAGGTAGGATTTGAACTGAGTCTTGAAGGAAGCCAGGAGGCAGAAGTGATGGGGGAAAACACTGCAGGAATGGGGGACAGCCAGGGAAAAGGTACAGAACTGAGAGACAGGGGTTCATGCGTGAGAAAGAATAAGGTCAGTGTCATTGGGATAAGTGAAGGGGATTGGTAAGTCCAGGATTTAGAACAGAGGGAACTTTGGAAATCATTTTATAAATGAGAAACTGAGGGCTAGAGAGGCTAGGTTACTTATCCAAGTAGCTGAAATTCAAACCTTGGTCTGCTGACTTGTTCAATCGGCTCTGAAAATACAAGGGCTTTGGGCAGTTTGGTACCTTATGTCTAAAAATGTTGCTTCATCCCCAATTTGGACCATTCCTAGTCCCAAATGGTCCTGATACAGAAGGTCATACTGTATAGGAAGTTCTCTTTTACTGATGTTGACTTGTGCCTTGGTCTTCTGAAGCTGCCAAGGAAAACATCAAATTGATTTAGCTTTCCATCTGAGCACTTCAATTTCACCCCATTTTTTTCAACATCTTTCATCAGAGGCTCATTGAGCTAGATTGGGAAGACACTTAGAGGTATCTAATCCAATCTCCTCATTTTACATAAGAGAGGACTAAGGCCCAATTAGGCTGAATGACTTGCCCAAGGTCACACAAAGAGGAAGCATCCCAGGCAGGATTTGACCTGATCAGGGCTTTTTCCAAAATGCCAATGGTGGAAGGGGTCTTCAAAATGACCCCACGATTTGGCTCAAGAAACACAAGCCTGGGTTTTGTTAGAGTAGTTATGGATAAGATAGTTCTTCCCACTGGGATTTGGCCTCTATGAGTTGGGATGCCTACATCAAAGGTGGGTGTAAGGGTGCAGGTAGGTGTTTACCTGGACTTAAGTGTTGTGTTAGTGTACATTGCTGATACACATATTTTAGCTATGTTTTGGTTTTTAACAACCTAATAATAATAACTAACATTTATATAGCACCTTCTATGTGCCTGCTGGTACACATATTTTAGCTATGTTTTGGTTTTTAACAACCTAATAATAATAACTAACATTTATATAGCACCTTCTATGTGCCTGGCACTATGCTAAGAGCTTTACAATTATTTTCTCATTTGATCCTCACAATAACCCTGGGAAGAAGGTGCTATTATTATCCCCATTTTACAGACGAGGAAATTAAGGCAAACAGGTTAAGTGACTTGCCTAGGGTCACCCAGCTAGGGAGTGTCTGAGGCTGGATTTGAACTCAGGTCTTCTAGACTCCAGGTCCAGCATTTTACCCACTGTATTACATAGTACCTATTGTACCAACTTGCATTGGGTGTATATGGAGTGAGTGGAAAAGGAAAGCCTTAAAATAAATCTATATATTAATTACATGGTAATGTATTCCAAGTATTAATCTATATTACAATCTACATCATGGTTTATAGTTATCTGTCTATCCCTGTACAAGCATCAGTCACTAGCGTAGTCATTACCAAATCAATGACTAACCTCTGACACTAATGGATGCATACATCATACAATCACAGGAAGTAGGGCTAGGCTCCCCGTCTATGGTCACCTACCTCTGGGGCAGAACATTTCTCAATGATACATACCCTCTTTCTCATGCCCTGAAAATTTCCCTGGTTACCCCTCCCCACTCAGGAAGTGTCCTTCAGGGCAAGACCAGGGGAGGTCTTGGCCACTCTGACTGAGCCTCTTCTTGACAGGAAATTGACTTCTGTTTTTTTTTTTTTTTGGCACAAATTACCCCTCCCAGTCTTTTCCTACTGTCTGGGTCATCAGTGTAATCAAGCCACAGTGGTGCCTCTGGCCCCAGCAGATGATGCTGGTGAAGAGACCTTGCCACGAGAAGATAGGCATGGACCAAATAAGGCCCGGCAAATGGTGGGAGTAGGTATGGCTGTGAAGAGTACCCTGAGTGTGTGTGTGTGTGTGTGTGTGAATGTTTGTGAGTGATGTACATGGGGTATGTGTCTCTGAGGTGTACACTCAGCCATAGAATCTAAGAGGCCACCTTATCCAGTTCATGCCTGACCATGAATCAAGATGGCCAAACTCTGGGCCCCACTCTCTAGATCAGGGATTCTTAGCTTTAAGTGTGTCATGGCTAGAGGTGGCTAGGTGACCTGGTGTCAGGAAGATCTGAGTTCAAATCCTGATTCAGCTAAGTAAGGCAAGTCGCTTACCCTCTGCTTACCTCAGTTTCTTCATCTATAAAATGGGATAACAATAGCACCTACTTCCTAAGATTGTTATGAAAGCCAGGTGCAATTATATTTCTTAAGCACCTTACAAACTTGAAAGTGCTATATAGATATAAAGTTATCATAATATCACTTCTACACAATGCTAAAGCATTGGAAGAAGACTTTATTGGAGGGAAATCTTTGTAAGATTTTAACACAACTGCCATCCAAACTGGGTTTGCAAGGCTGTCCCAGGATCTGTGGGCATTTACCTGGAATAGCATTTGTTCCAGAAGATGGAGCCCTCTTACTTCAGGGAGTTCTGTTCTGTTTAATTTCTTTCTCCCAGGCCATTGTGAGTGGTGGTCTGATAAAGCCTATAGACCCCTTCTCAGAATAATGTTTACAAATGCATAAAACAAAATACAGAGGAGTACAAAGGAGACCAATAATACTCAAATACAATCATCCAACTATTATAAAAATAGTTCACAGACCCCAGGTGAAGACAGCCTGCTCTAGATGGAGGGGAAAATCTTCGGTGGCTGCCATCATATCAGTTCAGCAGTCATAGGAATGGATATCTACATCTAAGGAATGGAGGAGGGTGAAGCCTGTGGTTGTGCTGTCTCCTTTTTGTCCAGTGAGTGGCCTTTAAGCAGTTAGCTACCTTGTTGCATTGCTTGTCTGTTCTAGAAGGAACCCGAGTTCTCCCTTCATTTCCGGTGGAATCTTAAGTGAGGCTTTTTAGCAGTCCTGACCTCGCCTGTATCTGGCTGTGCATATGCAGGAGATCACCAGCTTTGGGTTAACATAGATCTAAACAAGTTATCAACAGTGAATCTGATTTGCATAGTTAGATACCAGACCCTTCAGTGTGGGGGGCTTATTGACTACCTTCGACACATCTCAGGTTCGGATACACAAATCTGATTCACACACTTCCATGACTGATTTGGTCTACTTCATCCACTGGCCTTTGTTTCTCTTAGGGCTCACTGGTTCTGCATTGTAGATGAAGCGCTATGGCCAGGTGCAATGTCTACTATGGCATCATGTATGAGCTTCCTAGGATTATAGGGTCACAGGGTTGGGAGAGTTCTTATAGATCACATAGTGTGACTCCTTTCTGAAGCAAGAATCCACTCTGCAATATCTCTATCAAATCTTCAGTCACCATTTCATTGAATATCTCCAAGGATGGTTGAGTAACTATCTACTCTAAATATGGAGAGAATTGGTTTAAGATCCTAATAATGGATTTTTGTGTAATTATTATCATCTAGATGACAATAGAGGTCTTCCTTTTTCATCAATGTCCCCAAGATAGCATTTCTGGCCAACTTGTCATTTGAGAGGACCTTTTGGATATCAATGAACTAAAATTATTGGAGATGAGAACTGTTAAGGTAGGATGGACATCAGTAAAGGAGTCTTAGACCCCAGGGACCCTTTCCCCTGCTACCTTTGCCTGGGGAAAAATGATAATAGTGTCTCTGGCAATCTCTCCCCCACCCCTATTAAGTGAGGTGAAGTTAGAGCACCTTTGGCATTTTTGAGATTCTTCATGGCCTGAAGCCAGATTCATTATCTTTCCTCTAGAACCTGCTCCTCCTAATGACATTTTACTTTCTGCCAATTCTCTCTGGTTGAATATCAGAGTCATCTTGAGTCTTTTCTCTCCTTCATGCTCCACATCAGTCAGTCAATCAATGAGCCTTTATTAAATGCTTACTATGTGCCAGGCACTGTCTTAAGCACCGGGGATACAAAGAAAGGCAAAAATAGTCCTTGGTACTCAAGAAACTCACATTCTAATGAGGGAGACAACACTCTGCATATACAAGACAAAAACAAGGTAAATTGGAGGTAGCCTCAAAGAGAAGGTACCAGCATTAAGGGGGGCTGGGAAAAGCTTATTGCAGAAGGCAGGATTTGAACTGAGAATTAAAGGAATGCAGGGAAGCTAGGAGGTGGGAATGAGGAGGGAGAGAATTCCAGGAATGGTTGACAGCCAGTCAAAATGCATGGACTTTGAGATGCAATGTCTTGTGTGGGGAATGGTAAGGAGATCAGTGTCACTGCATCACAGAGTATGTGGAGGGCAGTAAAGTATAAGAAGGTTGGAAAGGTAGGAAAGAGGCAGGTTATGAAGGAATTTAATTATTTAATTATTTTGAAATAATATTTTATTCGTCCCTTCAATTGAATGTAAAAACTATTTTTTAACTTATTTTGGCTTTTTTTTTTTTGGTGAGGCAATTGGGATTAAGTGACTTGCCCAGGGTCACACAGCTAGTAAATGTCAAGTGTCTGAGCCCAGATTTGAACTCAGGTATTCCTAACTCCAAGGCCACAGCTCTATCCACTGTGCCACGTAACTACCCCAATTCTTAACATTTTTTTAAAAAAAGTTTTGAGTTCCAAATTCTATTCCTTTTATATTTGATCCTAGAGGTAATAAGGAGCCACTGGAGTTCATACAATGGGGCATGGTGTAAAATAACAACAACAATAATAATAACAATAATAATAATAATTAGGTAGATAGTATTTACATAGCACTTTAAGATTTGCAGTGAGCTTTATGTGACATGATCAGATCTATGCTTCAAGAACGTCACTTTGGCACAGTGGATAGAGCTCTGGCTTTGGAGTCAGGAGGACCTAGGTTCAAATCTGGCTTCAGACACTTGACATTTACTATCTATGTGACCCTGGGCAAGTTACTTAACCCCGACTGCCTCACCAAAAAACAAAACAAACAAACAAACAAAAAAGAGGGTCAATTTGA